AAGGCAGATAAAACTCTTAGCAAAAATCCATCTGTTCCTGGGATAACTTTTTGTTTTGTTTTGTTTACAAATGTTTTCTTATTTCTTTTTTTTTCTTTTAGATTTATTTATTTATTATATATGAATACACTGTAGCTGTCTTCAGACACACCAGAAGAGGGCATCAGATCTCATTACAGATGGGTGTGAGCCACTATGTGGTTGCTGGGATTTGTACTCAGGACCTCTGGAAGTGCAGTCAGTGCTCTTAACCACTGAGCCATCTCTCCAGCCCCTGGGATAACTTTGAACAGATGATCTTTCTTGAGTCATTAAGTGTATATGTATTTGTTTCACAAACTTGTTAAATTTGGTTTTCTTAGATTGCCATAAGTTTCATTGATATAAATGCTCAGAAATGTTCTCTTTTTCACTAGCAGCTGTCATTTGAATACAAAGACAGATATGGAAAAACTATATAATCATTTTAACTTGTTTCCAAAGTCCTAAGAAAGAAAAGGTAAAATTTCCATAAAATAGAAAAATCTCTGTTTAGTCTCCATGTTATATAGTTGGCTACACCTGGTGGCACATATTTGTACTTGGGAGCATAAGAAACATTAAATATTAGTCTTCCTGATAAACACTATAGGTTTTGTTGTGGATAATTTCAAATCTTTTGATCTTCTCTACCTTTTAAAACTTTATAATATTTTAAATCCTCCCTCATAACCTAGTTAAGCTTTTGTTTACACAAAGGCCCTGTTACAGTTTTGGAATTTAAATAATTCAGGGGCCTTCCCCATTTCCTTTGTGCCAATTCTTTTAAAACTAACCAATTGAGAAAGACTGTAAAGTCAGGCCCCAGCCAATGGGGAAAAGACCACTTATGTTAGAATGAAAACCAAGTGCACTTCCAGCCCTGGTGTGCATGCTCTTCTTTTTGAGAGGTGCACTCTCTTGATCAAGAGTAAAGTTTTGCTTTGTCCAGACACTTCAAATGCCTTTCTTTGTAATTCCAAACTTATTTCTAACAGGGCATAGGAGGTATTCTAGGTTGAGATTTTTCTGGACCACAGAGTAAGTTCCTTTTTTTTGGTTTGGTTTGGTTTTTGGTAACTTAGTTTATTTTATGCATGAGTGTTTTGTGGGAATGTATGCATGTACACCACGTGTGCTTGATGTTCATGGAGGTCAGAAGAGGGCATTGGATTCCCCTGGGACTTAAGTCACAGATGGTTGTGAACCACCACAAGAGTGCTGGAAATGAACCTTGTTCTGGGTATAATGGCACACATTTTTAATCTCAGAACAAGTGCCAGGCATGGTGGTGTATGCCTTAATCCCAGCACTGGGAGGCAGAGGTAGATGGATCTCTGTAAGTTCCAGGCCAGCCTGGTCTGCACAGCCAGAGATACATAATAGAAACACCCTGTCTCAAACACACACACACACACACACACACACACACACACACACACACACAAACTGCTTTTAATTGCAGAGCCATCTCTCCAACCTCAGAAGCAAGTTTCAAATCAGACTGAACTAGATAGTAAGATCTTGTCTTGGAAAACCAAAATATTTTTTAAAATTAAAGATATATATTGCAACTATCTGATCTTATTTTAAGCAAATTGCTAAAAAATAGAAACCCATTTCTTTTTTTTTTTTTTTTTAAAGATTTATTTATTTATTTTATTTATGAGTACACTATCGCTGTCTTCAGACACACCAGAAGAGGGCATCCAATCTCATTACCGATGGTTGTGAGCCACCATGTGGTTGCTGGGATTTGAACTCAGGACCTCTGGAAGAGCAGTCAGTGCTCTTAACCACTGAGCCATCTCTCCAGCCCAGAAACCCATTTCTTAATTCCTTTTTTTGTTTTGTTTTGTTTTTCGAGACAGGGTTCCGAAACTCTGTCTTAAAAAATCAAAAATAAACAAATTTCCAAGCTGATATGATTTCAGTCAGGGTCAAACCCCTTTGGAAACAGTTTCATCTATGGAATCAGGCATTACCACAAAGGAATGTTGTTGATAAAGCAATGATTTAAAAATAACCTCAGTCTGGAGTGGTAGTGCACACCTTTAGTCCCTGCAGAGGAGGTTAAGGTAGGCAGATCTCTGTTAAGGCCAGTCTACATAGTGAGTATATGTATGTGTGTGTGTGTGGGGGGGGGGTTGTTTTAAGACAGGGTCTTACTTAGCCCTGATGGCCTGGAACTCACTATACAGACCAAACTGGCCATGAGCGAACAGAGATCCATCTGCCTCTGTCTTTGGAGTGCTGTGATTAAATGTGTACACTACCACATTTCCAGCCTCATTTAACAAAACTTAGGGACCTACAGTACAGAAAGTTTGAACAAATTTGCTAAGTCTACATGGAGAAACTAGGTTAACAGATCATAAACACCAGGTGAAGAATGAGAAAAGTTCAACCCTTCATTATACAAATAAAACGGCAACCTCTCAGCTCCTCCTGCACCATGCCTGCCTGGATGCTGCCATGCTCCTTCCTTGATAATAATGGACTGAATCTCTGAACCTGTAAGCCAGCCTCAATTAAATGTTGTCCTTATAAGAGTTGCCTTGGTCATGGTGTCTGTTCACAGCAGTGAAAGTGGTCAGCTTGATTTCTTCACTCTTATACTGTCCAGAATTCCCTGCCTCGGAAATGGTGTCATCTATAAGTGAGCAGGTTTTCCCACCTCAATTAATACAAGTCAATCTTCCATAGACATCACTTTCTCCCAGGTGATTGTTTTGTCAAGTTGACAATTAGCACTAAACATTACAATATCCAAACCACAACAGCTGCTATATTTGACATTTTTGTTGTTGAGACAAGGTTTCTCTGTGTACCCCTGGTTGTCCTAGAACTCACTCTGTAGACCAAGCTGACTTTGAACTCCGAGATCTGCCTGTCTCTGCCTCTCAAGTGCTGAGATTAAAGGCATGAACCACTGCCTGGCAACATTTTGAATCTTTTCATTAAAGTTAACTATGAACTATGAATTTCATGTAAGAAAGAATAATCAGCAATAATACTATGACTATATAGGCCACAAGTCAACAATTTAATAGTCTTAGAAATGCAACAGGATTCTGAATACCTGATGAATGGACAGAAGCTGAACTGTTAATACATTCTGAAGAGAGTGGTCACAAAATTCTGTTTGTAGAATATAAATGCAAAGAAAGATGTTTTAAAGGCAGGCAAGAGGGCTCTACAGATAAAGGCAGTTTCCACCAAGCCTGATGATCTGAGTAAATCTGGAGAACCTACTCCCGAGAAGCCATCCTGTGTTCATACACAGACACACAACAACAAATAAAACAAGTAATAAAAGGTTCGAAAAATTTTCCAAATTGAGTGTGTTGGCTTATATTTATAATTCCAGCACTTGAGAAGCTGAAACAGGAGGATTATTGCATGTTCCAGGACAGTCTGAACTACAATGTAGAATGCCATCCAAAAAAAAAAAAAAATGGAGCTGGAGAGACGGCTTAACACTTAAGAGCACGAGCTGTTCTATCAAAGGGCCAGGTGTTCCCAGCACCCACATGGTATCGCACAACTGACTATAACTGCAGTTGTAGGGAATCCAACACCCTCGTGTGACTTCCTTCATACCACACACACAAGGTACACATCCATACAGGCAAAATACTCATACACATAAAATAAAAAATAAAAAACCTTAAAGACCAAGGTTGGCTTGGTAGGTAAATAACCTATAAGCCTAATGATCCAAATTCAATGCCTAGAACCCACATAAAAGGTCACATGTGGTACTGCACATCTGTAACCCCAGCACTCCTAGGGAGAAATGGGGGGGGGGGCATGACAGAAATATCCTGGAGTATGCAGTGCAGTGCAGCAGCAGAAACAAGCCGCCTAAACAACAAGGAGAATGAGAACCAATTCCTCAAAGTTGTCCTCTGACCTTCACTTGAGTGCTGTCTGTCTGTCTCTCCCCCACACCCCGACTCTCTCTCTCACACACACACACAAAATGTGAAGTGAAAAAACTCAAAGTCAAATAATTGATTTCATTCTCCAAAGCACAGATAAAATGTGATGATAGTTAGAGGTCATTAAACAATAAGAGAAAATCCTCTGGCATATAACAACAGAATGGTCTGTTTTAAGCAAATACATTTAGGGGTCTGATAAGAGGTATATGTAGGCCAGACTACAATGTGGGCAGAGCTATGTAGCAACCAAGTCACAACTTTACCTTTCTAAACATAAAGTTCCAGGATAGTCACATGTAACTTTGTCTCAAAACAAACCAACCAACAAACAAAAACCACACAAATAAAAAACTTTAAAAAATAAAAGCAGTATACTAACAATAAAGTAATGTATGTATGCTAGTGGTCAGCTTGCTTTCTCCGCTCTTAGGACTGTCCTGAATTCTCTGCCTAGCGAATGCTGTCATCCGCAGTGGGAGCAGGTCTTCCTGCTCCCAATGTGGGAATGCCAACGCTGAGTTTTCTGGTTTGACATTAAGGTGTCCTCTCTCTTCCACCTGCCCCCAAGTCGACTGTGAATGGAACAAGTCATGAAAGATAATCGAATCTATTTGTAGTGAGTTAAAGCCAACAGAACAAATTTCCTTAAAAAAAAAAAAACTACTATGCGTAAGACATTGTGGAAAGGTTTGTCTTATCTCAGAGGTCAAAATTATCTGAGAAAAAGGAGAATGAGGTTTCCGGAAGTTCACAAAACAACCCAAAGTCCAACCGGAGCGCCCTGAAGGGCGTGTTTCAAAGGCAAGAAGCCCTTGGGGACTCAGAAAGGCCTCAAGAATGGTAGTATTCGAGATAGCTGCTGAAGAAACCGTAGACAGGGAGATGAAACGTGAGAGAGTGCGTGAACCCTGGAAGAACCGGAGAAGCCAAATTCTAGTTACTCGGCAAATACCGGTCTCTGCGCGCGCCGCTCTGAGACAGGCGCACCCTCTCCCGCGCAGGCGTACGGCCTGGGCCCAAGCCAAAGTTTCTCACCTCAGGGCCTTCCGGGCTCCTCCTCAGTCAGTTTTCTCCGAGGATCGAAGAAATAGTGCCGTCAGGAGAAAGCCCTAAGGCCGCGCTAGCAGAGGGTCCGGTCAAGCGGCCTTAGGTGTTTGCCGAGCCACATCTCCATGGCAACGCCACCAAGCGCCAGTTCGAACGCGCGCGCCAACGCCCGCCTGCCTGCGGTCCCGCAGCAACGACCAATAGTCATTCTTGGAGCCTGTCATCCGCTCCTCTAAAAGGCCAATCAGAGAGCGGAAGAGATAGGGGGCGGTCCATTTTCCACCAATGGTTTCGCTTGAAGAAGATCTCGCGACGCTCCCAGTCAGAAAACCGCGCCTCAGGGGCGGGTGGAAGCGCCTGATGCCCAATTCTGTGGCTCGCCTGAAGTGCAGCCGGGCTCTTCTGATTGGCTGGAGCGCTTCGTCTCCGTTCGAGGACCGCCTCCTGCTTCCGTGCGGTGGGTGAGTGCGGTGGGGCTCGGGGAGTGGGTAGTGTCGAGTGTTCTGACCTGTTGCTGCGGGAACAGAGCTGGCAGTGAGGCGAGTGTAGGCCAAGTTCCATCTACTCGCAGAATCTCGGTTTATCTCTCTACACCAGAGAGGACAAGGGTCAGTGGTGATGGCCTGGGTCGGAAGAATCCCAGAGTCAGAGGTCCAGCGTTGAGACTTAGCGGCCCAATCACATCGTCTCCCTAGACCTCAATATTGCTTTGTAGTTACCGATTAAACCCTGCCTGCATTCCAAGGCATCTTAACGTTTGCAAAAAAAAATTTACTTGTGTGTGTCTGTGTGTGTGTGTGTCTGTGTGTGTGCGTGTCTGTCTGTGTCAGTTTATGCGCGCCACGTGCATGCAGGTGCTCTCAGAAGCCGGAAGGCGTCGGATCCCAGGAGCTGAAGTTAAACGCAGTTGTGAGTCACCTGGTATAGGTTCCTGGGAACTGAACCCCAGTCCTTTGGAAGAGTGGCAGGTGCTCTGCAGCCCCCAAAGATAGAAAATCACAAGAATCCCATCTTAAGGCGGGGGAAAAGGCGAAACAGCTTAAATCGAGAACAGTCAAGTTGCCAACGCAAAAATGCTTAATGTCCAGTGGCGACTAAACTTAATGATGTTAGAAACTAGGAGTGCCTGCGTTTCATTAACTACCCAAAAATATTTCTGAACCGTAGTTTTTTCCTTTCTGAAAAATGATAGTAATGTCTCAACGGGTTGCAAAGAAAAATATTTATGAACCATAGTTTTTTCCTTTTCTGAAAAATGATTGTAATGTCTCAACGGGTTGCAAAGAAGGCCATCTGAAAAAAAAAATGCTTGGCAAGTCCTAGCTTCTCAGGTAAAAAGGTACCACCATCATAGTAGGAACAAACACACTAGCCAGCATGTATGTAGCTTCATGTGTTCTTTAATGTGCTGCTCATTTTAGCTCAGAAATTAACCATTTGGGGGCTGGAGGGATGGTTCAGTAGTTAAGATCCCTTACCTCTCTTCAGAGAACTTTGAGTTCATTTCCCAGCACCCATGTCAAATGGCTTATAATTGCCTCTAACTCCTACTCCAGGGAATCTGTGGCCCTCTTCAGGCACCCACATACTGCACACAACTGGCAGACACACAGACATAAGCAAAAACAAATCACTAATCAGTTAAAGAATAAAGGAGTTCTTACTAATAAGGAAATAAATTCAGTATTCAAAAGAAGAAAATTGACAATATCTATATTAAAAGGAATTAATCTTGTTGATCTTTAAAAATTACTAGTCCTTAGTGTGACTCACAACCACTGTTTATCTGCTGTTTCACAGAAAATATATAAATGTTTAAACAAATTTCTTGATTTGCTAGGTGTGATGGTGTTTGCGTTTATCCCCAGAGGCAGGAGGATCTCTGAGTTTTAGGATAGATTTAAAAAATGAGTTCTAAGACAGACAGGGCTGTTAAACAGAGGGTGCAAAATTTTGATTCAACTATTGGTAAGAGTTGGATGCCAGCAAAATACAGAGAAGCATTCAGATGGCCTATTATAATGCAAGATAAGGGTGACTGACATACTCAGTATCTCTGTATACACATACTTTATTCTAAGCTCTCAACAGTGAGAAATAGGCGCTAGAGCCACTTTACAGATGATGAAGTGTCTTTCTTCAGGTAACAACCTGAACTTAGTAGCTCAGTGTCTTTCATGGCAGTATCAGCTATGCTTTCCTATGGTGTACTGTTTTGAGCTGAAAGAGAGTGAAAATATTTGGAATACCAGATTGGAAAGGGGTGGTTAGATAGGTAAATTTACCCAAATTCAAGGAAAGTGGCTTGTCTTAGTCTGTTTCTACTGCTCTGATGAAACAGTGCCCAAGAGCAACTTGAGGAAGAAAGGATTTATTTGGCTTACTCATCCTTATCACTGTTCATCATCAAAAGAAGTCAGGACAGGAGGGATCTGGAGACAGGAGCTGATGCAGGGACCATGAAAGAGTGTTGCTTACTAGCTTGCTCCTTGTGGCCTGCTTTCTTATAAAAGACAGAACCACCAGTACAGGGATGGCCCCACCCACTATGGGCTGGGCACTTCACATCAATCACTGATTAAGAAAAATGTACTATAGGTTTGCCTGCAGCCCAGTTGTATAGAAGCATTTTCTAAACTGAGCCTCTCTCCTCTCCAGTGAGCCTAGCTTGTGTCAAGTTGACATAAAACTAGTTAACACACAGGTTGTTGGAATATCTATAGTAAAAGCAATTCTTTTTCTAATATAAAATGTTCAATTTAGGACATGAAGAATGAGATATCACTAAACTTTAGACCCAGTTTTCATTTACCTTGTGGGTACTCTATAGCACTTCAAATTCAACTCAGTTCAAAAAGAAATGGGTAGCTTCTTCCTCTTCCATCAACTTACCCAAACCAGACACCTCTTCCAGCAGCTCACAACTATCTGTAACTCCAGTTCCAGGAGCTCTGGCAGCCCCACACCAATGCATATATATGTTTTTTTAAAAGATGGAAGTAAACTTGTAACATGTCTTTTTGCCTGCAGTCTTTTCTTCCTATTTGTTCTTCACTCTACTTACTGCCAAGATGCTTTTGTAAAATGTCAATCTGACCAAAATACACTCCACCTAAAACCCAGTAGTCCTTATTATCTACAGGGTATGAATTAAGCCAGGCATGGTGGCATGCCTTTAATCCCAGCATTCTAGAGGCAGATGAATCACTGAATTTGAAGCCAGCTTGATTTGCACAGAGAGTTCTGGGTCAGCAAGGGGTACATAATAAGATCCTGTACAAAATAAAATAAAAAGCAATATACTAAGCTGTGTACCAAGAGAATGCTGTTTTGTGTGAGAGCTTTGCACACTCCTTACTTGGTCTAGAGGGCCTCCTTGCCTCACCTTCGTACAACCTGGTAAACTGAGCCATCCTTCAAAATCTTTATAATGGGGCTTCGGACATGGCTCAGTCTAGACATAAAGTATATGCTACGCAAATAAGATCTGAGTGAATCTAGCATCCAGGTGAAAAACACAAGTACATTCACACATGCACATCCTTACGGGGTACCCCCTTGACCTAACAATCCTCCTTTAATGTCTGTCTCATATACACCCTCATGATGAATGAAACACTTTGTAACATCTGCTTGGATGCCTTTTGCTTGCACTGGGCTGTGAACCTCTAGAAAGGGGGATGATTTTAGTGTTCAATTTCACATTTACCCTTCAGTCTTGCCATACAGGGTATACTCACCAGACAACAGATGAGTAGGCTCCAGTATTAGACTCACTTAAGTTTGCTTTCCATAGCTGAACAGCAGGTGGCACTAAAAGGCCACAGAACAAATTTTCCCTGAGCAGTATTTTTGTCCCAACCTTGTCTGACTTTGGTCTGATCCTAGAAACCACTATGTCATTAAAGGTAAAAATCTGACTTCTCTCTCTGTCATATAGCAAAGCTTGCAAAATGATTCTGCAGCTTTAGCTCCCAGAGAAGAAGGGAATGAATGAAAGGCAGATGTCCAAAGAAAGATGTTTCTAAGTTTTTCATATGCTTAGGTGTTTTTCTTTCTTCTTTTCCTCCTTTTTAGTATTGTTACAAAACATTATCATGGATGGATCCTTCATTGTTCCTCCAAAAACAAGGAAGCTAGAGAGTTGCAGAGAAGCCCATCGTGGTGTGGGGTGAGGAAGCAGTAGGCACACAGAGCTGCTTATGAGCGAGCAGAGTTGTTCTTCCTCCTCTCTGACCTGTGCAAAATTTCTAGACACCAGGTTTAGGGGAAACATGTGGTTTCAGTTCCTGTTTCTCAGGAAACAGCAGTGGAGTCGTGGACACCCTTGTCAAATAGGCACTTTTAGGAGCCTCAGGCTAAACTTTCCCCACCCAAGCTGGCTTTGGTTACTAGACAGCCACTCCAAACCTGTTCAGTGGAAAAGCTTTTACCCAGACACCCTAAACAGTCTCCAGATGAGTACTGATTAAAGACTAAGGAGCGTTAAAACTGGTGGTGATTTTATTAAGCGTTTGTGCGTGCTCTCAGAGCTATGTGTAACCCTAACCCTATTTCATGATAAGCAGACCTGTTGAAGGTTAAAAGAATTGCAAGCTTTGGAGTTAGGTTTCTTTGGATTCAAATTCACATTTCCAATCATCATGTCACTGGGCAAGTATTTTAATCTTTTTTTTTTTTTTTTTTGAGACAGGACTCGTGGCTATGAAAGACCTCAAATCTATATGTAGCAAAATCTAGCCTTGATATCCCAATCCTCCTGCTTCTCTGCCTTCCAAGTACTGAGATTACAGGTGCAAGGTGCATGTCATGGAGCATGGCTTAGCGTTTCTTAAGCTTTGAGAAAGACACATTGGTGTGTGCCTTTGTATTCATTTGGAAGGCAGAGGGAGTTCAAGACAAGCCTGTTCTACATATCTTGTTCTGGGCTGTACTGTAAGACTCTGTCTTAAAATCCCAGTTTCCTCATAAACTAACACACAAATTAAAGGATCATTCTTCGAGCTTGTTTGTTTGTTTGTTTGAGACAGATCTTTAACCAAGGTTCTCCTGCTTCAGTCTTCTGAATGCTAGGATTATAGGCATGAGCCACCATGCCTAACCTTAAACGGTTGCCTGTTAGCATTA